CACTGTCAAGGAAAAAGACTAGCGCTGTCAAGTAATTAGATGATTTCCCGCAGACAGAAAAAAATAATGCAAAATATGGTGGGTGGACAAGTCGTGTGGGACAAGGCGCTGATTCAGACCTAATTTGGACTAAGAATCAAATAGCCGGGAACACTACAAGGCAACACAAGGCTTGTGCCACTTGATTAGACTTGCAGAAAGGGCAATTTAACACCGGTCCCCTCAAAGAGAAGGTAAACTTTTGACAAAAGACTTGTGGGCCATTAACTGAAAAGTCTGTTAGTCGGCCGGTTCAAGCCTAAAATGGACTAACGGATAATCGAATACACCCTGTATGACCGGCAACTCGCTAAAGGAACACCAGTATCGCGAAATAATTAGCGTAAAAAAATCGATTCTTCCCGGTCTCTAAAAAAATTTAAAATATCGGAGACAAGCCTTGTGGGCCGTTCACGCATAAATTGGACTAATCATATGACCGATACATGTTGACAGATTCCGCTGGCCCAACACCTTGTTTGAGCACTGAGCAGACGACCAGATAAGATTCTACAAGCTGATCAGTTGTCCTTCAGTCTCCGATCTGTACTTTTACCGGGAAGTGTAATCAACTTTGAGGTTATATAACAGCTATTTAGATTAGTAGTATCCGTCCATCGCGTTCTCTTTTCCTTACGGCCCCTCTTTTTTCAACGCGTTTCGACGCCAATGGCATCTACTTACTTTTTTGTACGGCAAATGTTCTTGATCCTGTTTTGTTACTACATGACTTCGGGTCGGCATTTTGTTAGATAGCATTATCAACTGATTATCCAAAGACTGATGGCATCTGGGTCTACAATTGAACTCGCACGGGATCGAATCAATAATTTTCACATTTGAAGGCGAGCTATATAATCGCTAAGGCAATGGTCAACGGCAGTGTGCAGGATAACAGTTGGTAAAGTGGACATTCCATTCCTATATGATAAATATCAACTTAACTTTAAACCCTGTTTTTACTATGAGTGAGTTGCGTGCGACATTTTTATGGTTTCGTGTTTTAACGACGCCTTATGGCTGAACCTTTAATCTCTGAAGATGGCAAAGTGATGCCAAAACAACGTAACATTTGTTACACCTTGGAGCTGGTTGACGAAAGTAATTTATCGATTTAGTCATGCGATCAGCTCAGTGTCTAGAAAATATGAATTTTAATTCTATCTGAGCCTAATTAGATAACGATTACTAAAAATGTTGGCGTACTTTGTAATTGATGGAAAACATGAAGAATTGTATTCTTTGTACTTCTTCCAAAAGTTACCAACAATTTTCAGAAGATGTCAATCAGTTTTTGAGTTTGAGAAACAAAATAAACGCAAAATACTGAGGCTAAAGCCATTCAAAGCACATTTTAAATTTCACTGATCTGGAAGTTCTAAATTTCAATACTGCAGTGTGATGCAGCGTTTACTAGCGTATCTTCGTTCGTTTAAAACGGGTAAACTCTGTTTCAACACATTTTTAGCACAATGACACATTATTTAAACAAGTAACAAATTAAACATAATTTTAAAAACTAAATCCGTCAGTAAAAGCTAAACATAAGCCACCACAAGTGCAACAGTGCAGTGCAACATAGTAAAGAGCTTTGCTTATCGCGAGAGCATTAAGATAAGAGCCAATTCTAAAAGAGGCCAAATGACTTCCTGGTCTAAGAGGAAAACTTTCCCCAAGTTCAAACGAAAATTAATTTTACAAGTGGCTTACAGACAGATCTTTTATTATTTATGTTGATATTTTACAATGTACCGGATGAAATTATATTACAATGTGGTAATCCTCGGTTGAACAGTTACGTTACAGGATCCACAAGACAACTACAATTAAAGCTTAAATCATACAAGTGGCCTAAACAAAACATTGAAACCAGAACAAAGAGTTTGCGGCGTTTAAAAACAAAGCCTTTGTCGTGGAAAGTTCCTGGAGTGTAGCAAAGGCACTTTGCACTCGCGTTAAATATTATATTCCTACAGTAACTGTAGCATCTATCTATATATTAATAGGCAAGCATGTTTCTTTAAAACCTTTTTTCTCAGCTCGTGTGCATCGTAGGGAAAATCTACGCATACCGTTGGAAAGCTATTTTCCTGTAGGTGTGCAGAATCCCTTTATAAATTTAAATAGGCTCAAAGATAAGCACAAAAAATAAGTTTAAAAGTTGTAAAAAATTAACATGGATCTTATGCGTTGCTATGCTGGTTACGAAATAACAACGAAATATAAACAGAAAATCAAAACAAATGGAGGAAACTCCAATCACATGTTTTATTTACAGTGTGGGGTGAAAATAGTTAAGTGAGTACATTACATATTTTTGGTCGAGTTTCGACCACTGGACGACCTCTCGTATAAATAATTAGTCTTTTAAACACTATACAACACGTTTTTATCCAAGCGTTGAACGAAATGGGAAATGCTGCCCCAGCTGATCGCAGTCGTAGTATCTTGTTGCCAACTATTTTTTTCAAGCGTACACATATTACGTGCCTACTATACGCACACTGTTTTGTGTTGTTAGTTGGAGAGTGCGGCAAAAAAAGAGTGCGGCAAAAGTAAAATGTTTGTGACAAAAGTAGGCAAGTGAAGCAATTTGCTACTAACCTATAATGGCGTACTATAATCAGTATACAAGGTAAGCAACTTTGTCAGGTAACTGTAGGAAAACTATTTTTCCAGATGTTAATGTTTGCATTACATACATACATTGTTTTTGCTAAAGAGAACGAGAGTTATTATTTATGTTTGGTAATTCTCTTGCCGTTTACAGATAAGAATAAAAGTGTTGAAAGGAAGTAAAAATGAATTTTACACAAATATTTAAAAAATTACAAAGAGTAAAATACCTATAATCCAAGTTTTAACCCATTTTAATTCAAAACTATATACTTAATACAATAAAGAGGATCTCTGTTGCATCCCTTTTCCAGCCGTCCTACTCAACCTATTTTACGATTGAGGTGTCACGATTGAAAGCTTGATCTAGTGGAGAGAGAAACGAATGGTGTGTGCAAATAAGACATCCCAACATGCATACATATTATGCTTTAAACTGTTTTAATTCAATCAGGATAGAATTGAATAAACCCCTCACGGAACGCAACTGTACAGTTTTGATTTCCTCTTTTTAGCTTTCATACTTAAATCTTTTCGGTGGGGCATAAAAGATGCTACACTTTACTTTGGCAAAGTTAACTTTATAACTTCAAGTTAACTTTTTGAAGTTGTCGTTTACATTGATCTCGAAAGATCGGTGTGTAGGCCTACAAACATCAGCAGACTCTGGCTCAATTCAAATGCGTTCATTTTAATCCTAAAACCGGCTACCATGGGATATCTACTCTCCGAAGTCACAGGGTTTGCATAAAAGCAGCTTAGTGCTATTTCGTTTGAATTGTATCATATAAAATTAATATGACAACAACAAATAAGGCTCACTACAGTCTCTCCTTACAGTGGAAAGTTAATTCGTTAGAAACACAGTTTCTGAGCTAGGATCAACCTCGATTTCAACACCAGATCAATCGATATATTAATAAAAAATGTTAATTTTTAATAACTTCCCGCGGTTATTTATTTATTTCCAACTCAAGAGAGGAATGGCCGTTTCACTACCTCGTGGCTTGGTCAAACAGCATGCGGTGGTTGCTATGGCGTCGTGCGTCGATGGTAATGGCACTGAATTGACTGGATTTGCTTAACATTAAATGTCATCTCTGAAAACCCTATAATCCGGGGTAAAATGTTGAAATATCGCATACAATGGTTTCACGTTCAAACCTTTGTTACACTAATCTGCCAAGGATTTTATACTGATTCGAAAATCAATGTTTACACATTTATCGTCCAAAAAGATATTTTATCGCAGGTATCCACCAGAAAGTAGATAACACCAACAATTCGGTGGTACTATGTATATATAAAACAAACAATATTGGAATTATTATCCTTAGAAAAATGAAAACAATTAAATATCTGGTAATACGGGTCATAACACAAATTGTATCATAAGACTACAAAAACAATGAAACTTAAAATTCGTTGCACTAATAATTTAACAACCAAAGGGTGCTTAAACATTGCAGTAACGAAAATAAGCATGGGCATCCAATATAAAGACGAAATACTAGTTTATCAGGATACGTTGAGCATTTTTTGTGTTGAGTTGAGGTGGGAAAATTTTTGCCATTTTAACTAAAATAGGATTTTTAAGGGATTCCGCAAGTCTTGTTTTATGATAACAACAACGCGGCAAGGCCGAAGTAATTTGACGTCTGGAGTACTTTAAGAGACAACTGAAATACTAACATAGTCCTAGTAGACTTCGTGGGAACCTAACTCTTGAAACTCAAGAGAATCACTGTTTATGATGATGTGTCCGAGTAGAACAAGTCTACTTGAAGTAAGAGCTGCTGTATCAAACTGTTGACCGAAGGTGACAGCACAAGTAAACTGCACAATATTATGCAAAGATTGATTATTTTTTACAATTGTTATAGTTGTTAGTCAAATAACTTGATAGCCCCAAAACCACACCATGTCGATGGCAAATCACTGTGTGTTGGACTAAGAAGCCTAAAAGCCTAATTACGTAAAACTCGTCAACCTAAAAGTCTGCGAGGTATACATATATTTTTGGCGGGGGGGGGGGGGGGGAGGGGGAGAGGGAGTACTCGACAGTCGACAGTCTTAAAGTCCCTGCGAGTTTATGAAACTAAACGGATTAGGAAGTCTCAACTTTTTACCTCCGTTTGATCCGATCCGGTTTATAAACCTGTCAGCGGCTGACGTCAGTCGGAAACTAATCACTCTGACGTTGAGTTTCGACACTTAAAACAATCACGTCCAATTTCGCGAGTTTTTAGCGAGAGTAGGATTTATTTACTCAAAGTACAGACAACGGGGACAAAAAATACTAAACAGAGGAAACAATGAATGTACAAGCCAAATAGTGTACGTACCTCAAGGACGTTCTCGGACCAGTTGAAGGAGGCCAGGTACTGTGGCAAGTACTCCATCATCTGACCCTGGACGGCAGCCGAGGGGGTTGCTGATGAGCGGCGTTCCCTGCCTCCCCGCGCCGAGCCGAAGATCACTGCAACACACAAGCATGTTTTGCTAACAATCTTATTTTTATGTGGATAACAGTTTGAATTCTCAAACATTAAAAACTTTGCATAGAGCCAGGAACGTGAAGTCGATTTCGGATTATACATCATGCATACAGTAACCTGATTGTTAAACTTTCGCAAAAGCACTCAAATACCAATAAAGGCACCCAATTACCGCTCCTGGTGAAGGCACTTACTTAGTAGGCTGTTTGCTAGACGCGTAAAGATGCGCTGCGATTTAGTTGTTGGTGGGACGCAGCTGAATTTATTTTATTGATGTCCAAGGCTGTGTAAGAAGATACGTGCGTAAGTACGCATTTTTTTAGTATTGTTGAGCGGAGTGAAACAGAGTTGAGTTCACGTAAGAGATTGTGAAGGGCTGCTTTATTGTCATATGAGGAATTTAGTTAGATATGATGATGTTTTTGATATTTTAGAGAATTTAACTCCGAAGTCGTGTTTTGATTTACACAAAAGAAGAGAAAGTGAGGGATTGTATATAAGTTATTAGTTTGTAGGCGTTATCAGCTAGACAGCGAAGTTGAGTTGAGAGAATACTTCTGATTAACAAGGGGACAGTTTTATAAAATTTTAAACTAAAATATCATTAAAATATCATCTTAAAATATCATTTATACTCCCACAAAATGTCGTGTCCCGACAACTTTTAGATGAGCTCTTCATAAATCACTATAAGAAACGTTTACTTTTGTCTCTGCACTTAATGTCGTGTTTGATCCATTGTGTAGGGCGTCAATGTCGCTACGCAGCACAGAGCGCCTGTTTGAGCGGCATGTAATTTTTTTTAACTTTCCCTAAAATTACCATATTGTGAAGTAAATGATTTAATTAATTTAGCTGGCATGTCAATCGCTGCTCCACTTTATCCCACAGCTTCCTTGTCAACGTAGTTTAAGTTGTTGTCTTTATCATTCCACAATGATGAACGACACCGAACTTCACATATTTAACTTTCAATTTGAGTCTCATTAAGCTTTTCTAAGCAAAAAATATTTCTCTTTTAAAATATCAGTTACTCCCACCATTGACAAACGTTGTTGACAAAATAATGGGAGAAAGTGTGTCAGATTGTTGATACCTTTTATTTATTGATGTACAATTTGATTGCACAGTAGTAATTGAGTTAGAGAATGGAGTTTCTTTACGACATAAAATATTTGTTTGTTGCAAATTTGTACAGTATATAGAATACGTTACGTAAATACACAGGAGTCGCGTTAATTTTTCCGTTTGAACATGTTAAGTCAGTCTGTTAGTTATCTAAATGACTTTAAAGAAAACAAAATACTCAGGTACGTAAATTGCAATTAAAACACTTCACCTATTAGCAATTAAGATCCTGCCTGACATCAACTGCACCATTTTGATTTGGATGGCAGTTTTAAAGTAGCAAACACGGTTTGATCAAAACAACATTTTCACCAACAAACATTGTAGGCAACACGTGCTCAATTAAAGGTGTATAGCGCCAGTTGGGGAGCGGTTAATCGCATAGTTCTGCTATGACACCATACAGAACGTTAACAACTGTATAGAAGTTCAAGACCATAACGATTCTCAAAATACTTATCTACAATTAATTAATAAGTGTAATTCACGAATACTAGAAAATACCTGGTATGGATCATAAACATAAACAAATGACGTTTTTTGCCCGAAAGTATACGTTATTTAACATTGTTTAAATGGAACTGTCTAAACCATATGTTAATACTATCTATCTTCTATCTATCTATATCTATACTATTATAAAATACCCCGCCGCAGCAAACCTGCCGACTAAGCGAATTTCCATTTGTCTGAATTGATTTTCAGTTAAATATATTTTAATAACATAAGGTTTAACGAGTACCTAGGTTTGCTGCTACAAGGAAAGTAATAAAGTGTGTTTTTGAGAAAAATATTGATAGCTTAGTACAAAATAAATAAATTTGCCAAGTTTGATCAAAATATATCCATAAACAAGCAAACTACAACATTTGACAATTAGTCTCCATAAGAATAACATGGGAATTTTAAATTTACAATTTTTTTAATTTTCTCCGTTACTAATAATCGAACAAAAATACTTTTATATACTAAATTATTTGTTTTTTTAAGCTCTTTAAAAAGGTCTAAAGAGAAATCGGGAAATTTTGTGTTTTGAGGGTCAAAAGTGAGAAAAACCAATTTTTACCCCATAAAACCCCCCGTAAAGCCCTGTTCCCATGGTCCGATCGTGCTGGTTCGCGAACTCATTCAAGTTTATCCCGCTTTACACCTTTTAACCAAATTTCATCAAAATCGGACAAAAATTACTCAAGTTATCGCGTTCACGGACGTATATCTAATATATAAAATTCTCGTGTCACAGTGTTTGTCTGCAAACTCCTCCGGAACGACTTCACCGATCGTTATGAAATTTGGTGTGTAAATTCTGTAGGTATGCGAATCGGACGTAAACTATTTCCCGTTTCAAAATTCTTAAAAGGGCTCCGCCCCAGTGGCTCTGGAGTTTCCCATGTTAACCTTATGAGAAATGGAATTAATGAATCTTAACAGCTGTTTCAATTAAACAAGTTGGTTCTGTTCTATGATGTTCAATAGCATTAAAGTTACAAGGATTACCAACAGGGTGCAGCACTATTATTTCTTTTACATTTATGACAACAGCTAATTTGCAACCAAAATGTGAGTGAGAGTAGCGAACGAACTTCAACCTGGAGGCGAGTGAGCGTAGCGAACGAGCTAACCTGGAGGCGAGTTAGCGTAGCGAACGAGCTCCAACCTAAAGGCAAGTGAGCGCAGCGAACGAGCTCCAACCCAAAGGTGAGTGAGCGTAGCGAACGAACTTCAACCAGGACGTGATTGAGCGATGCGAACGAGATCATCTTGAAAATTAAACGTAACGGTACTTTCTTTCCATCGGTCTGTCTTAGGGGAAACCTATAACTTAGGCGATACGAAGTTCGCCGGGTCAGCTAGTATATATATATAAGTATATATATATATATATATATATATATATATATATATACATATATAAAAATTTGAACGAATGGTGTTTTTGGCCTCTGGGGACATCAAAATGAAAAAGTAAATCGGTCCCGGGTCTAGGTCTTACCGTGCCACCTACGGTAATAGCTACTTCCCTATAGGGAAATTCGCTAAAAGAGGTGGTTGCTGTATGTGTGTATGTGTGTATGGGAAAAGTAAACTCGAAAAATACTGGTCGGATTGGGCTGAAATTTGACATGATGATAGCTCACATTCCCGATTAACATATAGGCATATTCTTATTTCAAAAATCCTTTCGGGCTCCGCCCCAGTGGCTCTGGAGTTTCCCATGTCAACCTTATGAGAAATGGAATTATTGAATCTTAACAGCTGTTTCAATTAAACAAGTTGGTTCTGTTCTATGATGTTCAATAGCATTAAAGTTACAAGGATTACCAACAGGGTGCAGCACTATTATTTCTTTTACATTTATGACAACAGCTAATTTGCAACCAAAAGGTGAGTGAGCGTAGCGAACGAACTTCAACCTGGAGGCGAGTTAGCGTAGCGAACGAGCTCCAACCTAAAGGTGAGTGAGCGTAGCGAACAAACTTCAACCAGGACGTGATTGAGCCATGCGAACGAGATAATCTTGAAAATTAAGAAGTTAAACGGGGCAAAGCCCGCGGGTTACAGCTAGTTTAGCATAGGATTCGGGCCAAAAACGTCATATGTTTATGTTTATGATCCATACCGGGTATAATTCAACTCACTACTTGCTACTTTTATTAACGAGTTGTTAGTTAACCTTGGAAAATATTAACAAACAAATAAAACTGAACAATTTTTACTCTAAACGAAAATATCGGATAGTCTTTTGTTTATTTGTGTAACTTACCCAAGTCATTTCGGTAATAATAACGAACACCTGTTAACCAAACTAATTATTAGTTACTGTTTAACTAATTATTTGGTCTGTTTTGATTGCGGTGGAAAGTGCAGTAGACTGAACCCAAGGCTTGGACTGAACCACCACTGACTTAAAACTATTGATAGTAAACTAATTAGAACTCAGCTGACAGTTATTGATATACATTTGGACGCATTATTGAAAACAGCAGATATGGAAGAAAATTACAATTCTTCAATAGGATTATGGGGAAGTTAATGATGATGGGGGATCAATACAATAAAATCTTTGAAGCTTTGGTGGAAATAAACAGTATTTGATCTTCATGGAATAAGTACCAAGCACCTCAGCCATCAACTTGGCTAAACTAAAACATATGGACTTAATGAGTAAAATCAGGCAAGTCTACGAACCTTCTGTGTTTATAGCTAGATTATATGCTATGTATAATATATAGCATAGAATCTATCATATTATGTAGTTTCAGTGGACCAATTATAGCTCAATTTGAAAACTGTAAGTTGTACAACGTGCGAGCCTTCAAGTAAACAACTATTTACACCGAGACTTCATCAAATACCATTCAATTACTGTACACCTATCAGCTGCACCGGACCAAGTACACAGCTGATGAGTTCCTACTCGCCAAGAGCAAATTATTATTTCGCTTCGGACGCGGACAACCAAAAATTAGTGCAATCCATTTATTTCTCCAATCGGTATTGATTGCAGTACTCAAACTGAAATGGCGTTCATCGGCACTGGAATGTGAAAGGTTCATATTTGTACCAAAATGCAATCATGTAACAGGTGTTCAATACAACAAATTTGTCCTCATTGACACAACGACCGAAATAATAACTGTTCACATTATAGTATCTATCGGAAAGTCCAAATGAAAGATCTGTTTTTAGCTGCAAAATTCTTAATTGGTTCTAGCAATCAATCTCCGATGGATGGACTTTACCGATTTTGTGGCAGTAATTAGCAATTACAAGGACAGAACAGGGAAAACAGGCGAAGATTTCGAAATGTTGCCTGAAATCGATGGTTATCTTTCACTTCGATGCCTATCGTCGCCGTTACGTGATTTCCCGGCAACCTGCCTGAGAAGTAAAGCACCGAGAAGTGTGCCACAATAATCCGAATAATGCGTTTGTAACATCGTTTCTTGTTTGTTACTTACAGCAAGGCTTCCCTACCTAAAGTCACGAAAATGTCTAGTTTATGCACTAAAAACCTCTTACATCCGTTTTGAAACATTCTATCAGGGACAGCAAACAGATTATTCGCTTATGTAAAAAATTCAAAAAAGAGAAAATTGTCACAAAACGGTTTTGTTTTCATAAAGATTAAGATTTACCAGAACATGAGCGTGGAAAGGTCCTGGTGAATTGCAAGTAGGGATTTAACGACAGGGTTGCTCGATAGAATTTGAATACAAATAATCGAGTTACGGAATTCGAACAAGGCCAATCTGTTAGCATAAATCAGTGTGTTTCTCTGTTAGGACCAATCAAACTGGCTGCAGAAACCCTGGTATGAATATGTATGGCCGATGATTTGGTTTACAAGAAAAATTAAACATTGAACATGTTGATGTAGTCCTTTATGATCCAAACGACCCATGGAAAATATCGAATGTTTATTGATTTCTTTCTTCTCTGAGTTTCAACGTAAATAATCGCCCATCGAACAGACGATAATATATTAAAAGTTAAACTGAGAAATTTTGTCCGTTCACACACTTCGGCCACAATAAGGTCACGCAACGAAAACACGACACATACGAGCTAGACCACATTCTAAAATCAAGTTTAGCGAGTTCCCATAAGTGGTGTTAAAACTTAGAAAGTCTGTTAAGAAATTTTAAAATAGAATTAATAAGCGTTAACTTACAAATTTTACAGTTTTCATAATATAACAGAGTAGTTCGTTTAACAATATTAACAATATCGACAACCTACATTTTTGCCAACAAAAATCAATTTGATGGGATTTTTTGTCCTAGGACGCTAGGCACGAGTCAGAGATAGTGTTTCATATTACCTAGGCTAGACCTAGGGGTTGCGGCATTATCACTTGGATAAAATCTATTCTAATCTAACCGATGTCCCGCGCTATAACCACTAGAGCAGCTCGCTCACCAAATTTGACAGGATTAGAGCCCTAAGAATCCTTATCATGGACCTCTTAAAATTAAGTTTATAATGCAGCCCATGGGGAAGCTGTTCCACTTAATTAAAAGGTTTATAATTTAAAAACAAAATTCAAAGTACACATAAACATGAATAACAATTTAGTTTTGGCTATGGACGATAGGAAAGGACACGGATATACACTTGATATTGCCAGAATCATATTCTTCTGGGGTTTGCTATAAAATTCAATAATACACTGTATTTACACGGTATTTTGCGTCAACTTATGCTTTCCAGAGTTGTTAATCTATCTCTTTTTATCTATTCTTCATTCCATTGTCCATTTATACGTTCTACTACTATTACATTTCATATTTATATTGTTATTTATTATATTTTGTTACATTTATTTCCTATTTATACTGTCATTGCTTGTTATATTGTTATATCTTATATCTTGTTATATATTATATCTATTTGTTGTTGTATTATTCTTCTATTCATTGAATACTAGCTGTACCCGCGGGCTTTGCCCCGTTTAACTTCTTAATTTTCAAGATGAGCTCGTTCGCATGGCTCAATTACGTCCTGGTTGAAGTTCGTTCGCTACGCTCACTCACCTTTAGGTTGGAGCTACTTCGCTGCGCTCACTTGCCTTCAGGTTAGCTCGTTCGCTACGCTAACTCGCCTCCAGGTTGAAGTTCGTTCGCTACGCTCACTCACCTTTTGGTTGCAAATTAGCTGTTGTCATAAATAAAAAAAAAAATAATAGTGCTGCACCCTGTTGGTAATCCTTGTAACTTTAATGCTATTGAACATCATAGAACAGAAACAGAACCAACTTGCTTATTTGAAACAGCTGATAAGATTCATTAATTCCTTTTAAATATGAAAAATCATAAGGTTAACATGGGAAACTCCAGAGCCACTGGGGCGGAGCCCGAGGGTCCGATCAGAATAAAAACAACTTAGTTTTCCTATTTAATACCTAAAGAATCGGTGTGCCAAATTTCAGCCTCCTAGGTAAATGGGAAGTGGGAGAATTAGTGATGAGTGAGTGAGTGTGTGAGTGAGTGAGTGTGTCAGTGAGGGCTTTGCCTTTTATAAGTATAGATTACTTTAAGTTGGCTGTAAATGGCTTCTTTAAAATGTCTCTTTTTAACTTAAGTCATATTACGTTTTGTCATATTTATGTATTGGTTTGACCGTTATGAATAAACAAATAAATAAATAAAAACGATTTCCAAGAACCTTACTGACGCATTGCGTTCATTTAGTTGTCCAATTACTCTATGCACTTTTCCATCCGCATTTCATGTGCAATTGACAATCGTACAACTGCATTCGTGTTGAGCCATACAATACTCCAATGAACAACTATCACGAATGTTTCCGGGATATGATAGCATAATATCAGTTATTATTTGCTTATCAACCAGGAAGCACTACCGTGTTTGTTATGTCAGTCTTCGTTGCATTGTAAGTATTTAGTTAGATCTAGAACACTATTTGATTACAAATAAAAAAAAAAAACTTGTATGAAACATTCAAGACATTTTGGGGTTGTTCAGAATTAAAAGTCGTCTTTTGGTTGAGTAACGTATACAGTGCAATTTTAGGTAAAACTTGTAGGACAATAGCTTCTAGGGGCAATAGCCCCTATATTCTAGTAATTATTTTGTAAACTTTATTAGTCTCATGGGTTACCCTACCTTGAATTATCGTTTAAAATGTTTGTATATTATAATATCTATAACAGTTATTACATACCTGCATAATGCATTTTTTAATGTCTGTTCTGTTTAAAATAAAATTGCAAAGGACTGTTTATGCGATGTGTTTAAAGAACATTTTAAATAATAACGAGCTGTTGGCCCGTCCTACGTACGGGAATCGAGCTGTCCATTAAAACTGTAGGCCCTATATAGTGAGTCTATTACTAATTCAAGCATAGTTTAAGCAGTTCAAAATTTATAGTAAAGAAAAAACTTCCAAGATAAATTAAAACATGGGATCATTGTTATTTTCCCAACCTTTCCTCAAAAAGTCGATTAGTAAAATCATTTTCATAAGCATTCTTTTGAAGATTTGTGAGCTTCGATTTGTATAGAGCAATAGTTATAGAATTTCACTTATTTCCTATAATCAATGACAAAATCTCAGAGTAAATAAACTAACCTCATAGTTTTAAAGAATATTTTTTATTCAACCAGCTGTTAGTTATAACAAAATATATTTTACTAAAACAAACTAAATATTTTAAAGACTGCTAAAAAAAAACAAATTAGAACACCTATTATTTTACTATGTATATTTAAATAAACTCTCATCCTCTTCCTGATTAAATGAACGTATCAATGATTATAGCATTACACATAGTATAAATAAGTAAATTCTACGTATGTCATTTCATTTTCATCTAAAAGCTTAATTTGTGTCAAAAACACTGAATGTTTACAGCTGTTATGTTAGGCAAATGGTATTATACCAAAAGCTAGAGTAGAATGTTAGCGTCGGCTGCTAGACTTTAAAAAATTTAAAACTTAATTTCAAAAAACTAAAACCCTTAACTAAAATTATGGCTTCGACATTCCCTAGTTCTCAAAATTATCTTTATTTCAACACAAAAATCATGAATAATATTAGAAAATACATAATAGAAAATCCGTCAAGTGGTTGATTCAGAATCGTGAAATAAAAAAACCCTGTTACGTTTTAATATTATAGATCTTCATGACTTTTAATTAAACATACATAAATTTCTTTGAATATAGACAAATTCACTTAAATAAAACACATAATAGAGATAATGTCATCCTACAAATTATGAAATCCTATTTTGGTCGATTCCTTGATCTTTATTTGGTTCTTTTAGTACTATTTTAACATAATCTGGCCGCTTTCTGCGGTTAAAAGCAACATAAACTTTTTTTAATAGATGCCATCTTTCGTGAAGGTTTGGCCTTGCGCTTTAATAATAAGTAATAGCGAAAGCTAATCGCAATGGGAACTGAATCTTGTAAACCTAAACGGTATATTAGGATTTGTAGATATTGGTTTTATTTTTAGCATGAAAAATATGTTCCCTTTGCATACTCAAGTAATTACTTCTAAAATGTCATGCCCAGACCTCCCAGCTTTGAGATCCCTCCCAGCTTTCTACGGCTTCCCTTTCGCTCACAATTTCATTGTAAAATTTTGGGCTTACGGAATTAGATGTATAGATTGGGAGATTGATAGATTGATTGAGTCTCAATTCGGCAAATATTAAGTTCATACTATTATAGTTAAGCTCCCTACGCAACATCAACATAAATGGGTCCGATAAGTGTAAAATGAATCAACCCCAAAAGCCTTGAAATACAGTATCATGGACTTTATTTACTCACTCGTTTCTGAAGCGTCAAAGTTAACCTTTTAGGGTCACAAGTACAACAAGTATGTGCAGTAGTAACACTCACCATTATGTAGACGGATGTAGGTGGCGGCCAAGCGCAGGATACTGGTCTTGTCCAGTTTCTTTGGCGAGAAGCTGATGATGGGCACCAGAGTTGACAACTCGTTGATGAAGAAGTTGAGCTTGTCTCGCCGCATCTTCTCCGCCATGTTCCGCTGGTGGCGGTTGTTGCTGCAACAAGACAAGGACAATCAGAACTTTGATCCAGTAGAACGTGTAAACAGTATACACGATCAAACTATTGGCAGAATCTATCGAGAGAAGGCATATAGGGTCAAAACTAGAAGGTTAAATCTAGTAAACATTTCCAAATTGCAATCACAAATTCATTCTGTAGTACTATGTACGCGAGATTGTATTACTCAAACCGTTGCGTCGAATTTCTCAATCAAAAGTCGTTGAATTCCTTGACACGTTTATTAAAAGAACGTTGATATTCTAAGCTGGTAAAACCCGTAGTATTCATTACTTTTGAAACAAAAAACGACACCTCGTTGTTTTAATAATTCCATCGGTATCGAACGATCGCTTTATAGATTTCATTTAATTTGGATCACCTCTTCACACAAATGTGAAAACCCATGAAGGCTAAAGAATTTTTTTCCAAAGAAACGATTTCTCGGTTAAAGGGGAAAGTCATATCTTTAGTCTTCGAAAATGGCAGCAACGTTGAACTAGGCGAAAACATTGGCCGACTTTTTGTTGTGAAATTATTGTAGTTTGCCCAGAAGATGATTAAAGCAATGCAATCAAAAGCTCTGCCAGTATTTTCACTGTTTCAAGGAACCAGCTGATCTCCGGAAGATCAATATTTCACACTGTCCAAACCACAAAATGATTGGTACAATGATAAGACTGCGTTCCAATTTTCAGATGTTTCACGCATTTTGAAGCTTGAATTCAAGATCCTCACCACTATTACTTTGTGGTTTAACAAGCACAAAGTTGGACCAATTCAACAGTACGAAGTGTGCAGAGCTGCAATTGACCCGGCGGATGCTGCCAACTGACTTTGTGCCACATACTGCAGCAGCTATCTGCTATTCTGGGCGTCAAGTTCAAGACCAGCTGCAGCCGCCAGCGATGACTGTCTTGTTTACCACTTGACGCCAAACTGGTAACCTAGTCCATTAGTGTCTAGATACAGTCTGCACAACATCAAACGTTGGCGTACAACTATTAGAATCTTCAGTAGGTATGGATTGGAAGTCAAGTAAAATGATAATAGCACGAACTGAACTGATAAATAATGACTTGAAAACGCATCCACGGCATCGATCATTTGGTCTCCGTGGTACTACAGACTCACAAAATTCTACCGGATTTTATTAAAATCGGCTAATCTTCACCAAATCTGGGGACATAAAAACAACTTTCCTTGTAACACAGAACTATAAAAATCAATGATTGATTAATAAAAATATGTGTCCAATAATTAAATGTATTACATAGATTATTTTTCTAGATATAATCTTTAATTTTGAACGTAGTGTTATTTAGTCAGAACCAAGTCTACGAGAATGGCGGTAACCAACTCTTCCCCATTGTGTATTTGCTTACACAAAAGCACAATGTTGGCTCCGTCTTCGCTGTCCAATAAATCTAATGTTCAGCTCACAAATAATTACTACACAAATCACCAGTATTGCCAAATTTAAACAAACTCAGGGCTATAACTAGAGATTGGCTAAGACTTTTTAGTAAGTAATCAGTGTGTCCTACATTGTTTGTTGCGGGCGATGCAAACAGCATAAAGAATACACAAGTTCACGGTCAACAGGGTGAGTTTATCTTGTGGAGATAAATCATAATGCGCGCGTGCAAATGACACTGCACTTTCAACTTTGACCGCGGCGTTGCATCTAGTCGGAATGTGCTTTGGGAGTTGCTGCAACAGAGTTCATCTGCACTCTGCAGTGTTGCTAGGGAGACGACAGACAATTTGTGTTACAAAATCCAGTGGATTGCGTGACCCCTTCACAGCTGTTAACACTTAAGTGGCACATGGATAATAAAAGTGTTTAATTTTAATATGAAGGTAGACATCCCATTCATTGTACTTTGTAGCTGGGGTTTCATCCGAATAGAGATAACTGACACAATTGTCGTCAGTGTCTTGTTTTTCGACACTTTCAATTATTGCAGCTACAAAAAATAGGCAATATCACATTTCCTCCAAGTTTTACATTGTTGTAAAGTCTGGGTAATTGACAGAAATCAGTAATTTACCAGAGTTCAACCATTCAGTGGTTGAATCAACTACGTTCATGGTGTATGCAGACTTTAGATGGTTCCACACAGAAAAAGCATGAATGAGAGATGAGTGTGGTACAGGTAAGATAACTTAAATAGATTTCCAACAGACTGTGGTCAGGTGTTACTTTAGTCAAGGCCACTTATGACAAAGTTACGAACAATAAATGCTACATTTCTTGGGATCGAACCGGAGTACTTCCATATTAGACGAGCGTCATACCTCTCAGATACCCAGTGCTAGGCAGTGTGCAACCCAACCGTAAAACCTAACAACATTCAGCTTTGACACATTTAATTTTGTAATGCATAACAGCCTCCAATCAGAAATTACTTCGGAATTATCTCCAGACGCCAAGCAACAGATACACGATGTACATGTTAATCAACAGATCATCCGAAGACAAGAAAACCCGAGTCTTGTAACGCTGAATAAACTATTTACACTTCAGCTGATTCCAACTTAATAAGTTATTAATTTATCCTCGCACCAGAAGATTCAAATCCAATCACCGCGGTAGATTACCTTGTACCGCTTATATTGCATGTTGGCTGCTAGTTGCTAGCTGCAAGCTGCGACCGACTGCTTATTAAACTATTAGCGACTAGTATTAATTAGGGAGATTTGCTTACATTTACAAGAGTGTTGTAATACATTAATCCACCGCTGTCTACTTGTACAAAATGCTGCACAAGTTGATTGGGGTGGTGCCTTGAACGATACAGTGCAGATAGTATCAAAGGCCTAAGAGCCTCTTCCCGACCATCGATGTATGTAGAGTTATATACATCGATGTTCCCGTTTTACTTAGCGAGAATCAAAAGAACTCAATACACAAACAATATTTTTTACACAGTATTCTTTCAGCTCACCAATTTAAAAATTTTTGTATAGGTATTGTTTACGGCTTACAGAAAATGGTTTTCATCTCATTTTGCAAAATCCAGCCGTTGCAATTTCAAGATGTTTAGATGCAAACCTTATCACTTTTCAAATGCAATAAATGGAAGTTAAATTGATTATTGATAAATTTCGTCTCTTAAATTAATCGAAATATCAATAAAGAAGATTTTTTGCAGTAACATTCACAATGCAAGTGTTGATCTACAACTTTTGTGGACGGGAATTTCTAAGATGGCTTATAGTCATTTACACATTATTATTGCATCATACAATCAAAGCAAAGTTACATCTTCAAATAGGAGCTAGGAAAACTTAGACAAAACTGCACCTTTGTATAAAGTTAAATAAGTTCAATAAGGCAGTTCATAAAAACAGGTTTGCTTCATCCATAGTTCATAACCTAATTCAAAGCATTAGATCAATTTTCGATTCTTGTAATTTATTGGTTATATCATACACAGATCAATATGCTACACGCCGCACTAACAAACAATGGATTTTTTGACGTTGGGAACACCGTTGAATAACTTCTGCAGGTATTCGTTTCAATAAGTATCTCCGTGTAATTTCTTTCATTTATGATTAAAATAATAATTTTAAATTACAGAGGCATCTTGTAAATTGTTTGTAAGGTCTATTATCAAGACCCCGAGCGACTTTGGTGGGTAAACCATTTCAAAACGCATAATTTTAGGGTGACGAAAGAAAATCTTTCAAAATAAATTTGTTGACAATTCTAAAACTATCAAGTGGGATGAAGGAAAGAAACTCCTATTTCCCTGAAACTGAGCTAAATTATTCCTCAATTTAATATGTCTATCGACTACCTAGTGGAGCGTCGCAAATCGATAGTGCATCTTGTCCACTCCGCTGCACTTCGGCAAAACACAATACTTCCAGTCAAATGCATCCGTTATGTGACTCGACAATACTGTGCCATATCCAGATAATAAATACCTTCCGAGCTAACGTTCCTGAGATCCAATTATCATTGATCCAAGTCTTTTGGACATTAGAGTTTGAATACTGCAAGTAGACTACTAATCTCATACAATGTAAATATCAAGTCGTGTGTGTATGTGGGTTGAGCGGGTTGTGTTTTATATGTGTGTTTTGCTCAGTAGTTATAGTATAAATATGCCAATATAATGTTAAAATCTTCTGATATAAATTGCCCATTACTCCATCAAAGAGTTGTTTCCTCAATTAACTTGGTTTTATTTATGTGTTTCTTATTTAAACATTTTAATTTCGAACGTAATTTTAGTCTTTAAGAACTGTATTCACTAGGTTAAGAATATTGACACAAATCAATGTACAATGTACAATTATTGAATGAAGATATTATAACGAAATTAAGCACTAGGCCTATTTAAGAAAGATATTGCAGTTGGTCAGATCAATGTAACGCTAGTAGAACAATCAAGAAATAATTAATAAAAAGAATACATCACTGCGCCTAGTAAACATTTCAATCAGCCAATTCAAAAAATAAAATAAAATGTAGGCTAAACATTTACCGGTACCTTGAAGACTAAGCAACAAGGAGAATATATATCGTTGATCACTCTACTGAGGTAAAAAAGTTTACAATTTCAACCAAGACATAATATATCAAGAATGTCAATTCTTCATATACTATTAGAATTGTAATATTCAGCAATGTATACACGTTTTCAGATTCATGACCCACGAATTGACCACAAGTTCGAATACAGTAGATCATCACAACCGTCTGGATAATAATTGTCTGTGGTATAATATACATCGAATTTGATAAGTGAATCTTTAAAAAAAGTCACAAAGGATTAAAAAATATTTTTTTAAAGAGGGTTAATGTAACTTCAAGGGGGATAATGTCAGTTTCACACGAATATTTATAGTTTTTTTTTTGTGGTAAGGAGTTTCTTAATAACTTTTAAGAAAGAAATTAATGTAAGAAGATTAAGAAAGTTAAGAAATTATATGTAGAATACTTATGGCTGGAATAAATGGGTAACGGTAACTGAGTAGA